TATATATATATATATATATATATACACGTTTAAATGTGAATATAAATTTACGAATCCACATAGTTAATTCTAGTTCTTCCTAACTTAGGATTCTAGAACTCTGGACTAAACATAAAAAACAAAAACCTTCATTCTGAAGGTGACAAGAAAAAAAAGAGGAAGTGGTTTTCTAATTTATAGGAGTGGCTCATGTGGTAGAGGGCTTGTGAGGCCCTGGGTTTAATTCTCAGTATACACACACACACACAACTGAAATAAAAAATATTTATTTGCCAGGCACTGGTGGCTCATGCCTGTAATCCTAGCAACTCAGGAGGCTGAGATACAGCATCGTGGTTCGAAGCTAGCCTGGCTAGCAAAGTCCTTGTGAGACTCTGATCTTCAATTAACCACTCAAAATCCAGAAGTGGAGCTATGGCTCAAAGTTATAAAGTGCTAGCCTTGAGCAAAAGATCTCAGGGACAGTACTCAGACCCTGAGTTCAGGCCCCACAACTGACAAAAATTTAATAAATAAATCAAATTATATTATATTTTGTATTTTTCTTATGAAAAACAATTATTCAGTATGTAAAGCCCCATATCTTTCTCTCTCCTCTCACCTTTCTCTCCCTTCTCTCTCTCTCTCTCTCTCTCCCTCTTTCCCTCTCTTCCTCCCTCTCTCTTTCCTCCCCTTTCTCTCCCCCCCCCCTCGGGTTTGAACTCAAATCCTACATTCTGTCCTTGAGCTATTTTGCTCAAAGCTAGTCCTCTACTACTTGAGCCAGAGCTACACTTCTGTTTTTATTGTTTTGAAAGTGGAGCTGTGGCTCAAGTGGTAGACTGAGCTGAAGAGCTCAGGGACAGCGCCCAGGCTGAGTTTGAGCCCCACAACAGACCAAAAAAAAAAAAAAAAAAGACTGCTTTTATTGTTTTGTTTTGATAGTCAATTGGAGGTAAGAGTTTTAGACTTTTCTGCCTAAGCTGCCTTCAAACCTCGATCCTCTGATCTCAACCTTCTGGGTAGCTGATTACATGTCAGCCACCAGCACCCAGATTTTATTGTTTTTTTAATTGGTGCCAGAACTGGGGCTTGAATTCTGGGCCTTGCTTGGCTTTTTCACATAAGATTGACATTCTACTTCTTAAGCCACACCTCCACTTCTTGCCTTTTCATGGTTAATTGGCCATAAGAAGCTCTTGGCATTGTCTACCCTTTCTGGCTTCAAACTTCAGTCCTGAGATCTCAGCCGCCTGAGTAGCTAGGATTATAGGTTTGAGCTACCAGTGTCCAGCTAAGAATCATTTTGCATACTGAAAATAAAAAGAAAGCTCTAAACTCAGAAAATTGCTAGTGCTCAAAATCAAACAGAAAAATGTTTTCTTTTACTGGGAAAAGGACAGGCAAGTAGAGATAAGCAAAACCTTTGAAGGGAAGCTAGAGAAGCAAGAGGAAATAACAAGTAGGGTCTAAGAAGGTGGGGTTCTCACTGTGGCCAAGAGTGTCCCATAAGAAGCTAATCTGAGGGCATATCTGACTTTTTAGTGTTTGCTTAGGTTTGGGGACAAGCAAGAGCTCAGAGGCCTGTAAAGAAACAGAGAATCCTGACCAAGGTACAAGCAGGTACTTGGTCAGTTTTTAACACAATAAAAGCATGCATACTCTTCTGTTAGCATTAGAGTAAGGGTTCTAGAGGACACAGATCATTTTGGAGGGCAATGAATCAATCTACAAAACTATCACGCAAAGAGCCAACAACACAGACAATCACATTTGGAAGATAGAAAACATAAAATTATTGGACGCTGGTTGCTCATGCCTGTAATCCTGGTTACTTAGAAGGCTGAGATCTGAGAATTGTGGTTTGAAGCCAGCCTGGTAGGAAAATCTCGGAGACACTTATTTCTAATTAACCTCCAAAAATCCAGAAGTATAGGGGCTGGGAAGGTGGCTCAGTGGTAGAGCGCTTGCCTTGCATGCATGAAGCCCTGGGTTCGATTCCTCAGCACCACATAAGCAAAAAGAAAAAAGCC